CCGTTGTCCCGACTAGTGGGACTCTGCAGTATTCCGAACCCATATTGTACCGGGTTGAACACAAAGGCTATTATTGCATTGGTGAGCATCGAACATGATGGTTTTACACCTGGGATCCTGACACGCAGCAGCCACGATCCCTATTACTACTGGTGCCACCGCAGACACTGCCGTTCATGCAAGCTTCAACGGCATTGTCCTGTTCCACAACGTCTTCCACGGAAAACTAGCAGCAACAGATTACCCCAAAATCAACGTAAGCACTTTATTACTCCAGCGTGGCGCCAAGAGCAACCCCTAACGCAACGGTACCTAGTTCTACCTGGCCTTGGCCTTGGTGTATGTCGCACTTGGTGGGCTGTGGGCATTCATGTGTTTCAAACACAGGGATGATTTACTACCCTTGCAAGTGAGTGTTTTACACTAATGTCGAAGCGCGGTCACCGATTCTTTGGTGTAGTATTATATCTCGTATCTGGTGGGGTTCCTTGTCATTGAGATGATTGCGAGCTGGGGTACGTTTTTGAGCTTGCGCACCATATATGTCGCTCACTATAAGGCGTAAAACCTTGAAGCGTATTACCGATACCTCAACTCGCATAATCGTGGCGCTGCAACAACGCTATTTTTAGCAGTTGGTGAGGCCGAACTTCAACATCCTCAACCACCCTCCCCATGAAACTCGTTCATCCCCCTGTTGGCTCGCCAAATAATGGCAGACTCACAACTTCTTCAACTGCAGTTTCGATCATGGACGCTGGTCGCAACGCACTGTCATTTTTCCTCCTCTTGGTTGTCTCGCTCGGGCTTTCAGTTGTCCGCGAATCTCTAGGCCCGATCATGATCCGCGTCCGACTTTTGGCCGGTGCTCACTTTGTATTCGGTGGTAAGCTCCCCGGTTCATAATAAGGGGTCAAAAACTGAACCTGAGTTAGTGCTCTACGCCATGGGTATGGTCGAACTCGAGCTGGAAAGCGCTTCAGCGCTGCTGCTGCTGATGTTTGTCATACCATTGAGCTTCACGCTATCCGGGTTTTTGTTGTGGATCATGTATGCGTTGAACGGTGCGTTATTCGTCACCCCTTTAGCGGTCCTAGTTGGGCTGATTGCTCTTTGATGTAGGCACGATGGCCGAACTGGCAGACCGCAAACAAACATACAAGCTCAGCATGTTCCGCACACTGTACCGTATTCTGCTTGTCGCCGTGCTTATCATCGGGGCGTTCTTTGTCGTCTCTTCTATGAGCTTTTCGAACCGACTAGACGAGGGTACGCACCAATTCCTTTCGGCTCCTCTCTATATTTAACGCCAACTGCTGCTCACAGACTATGCCCCGGAAACCTGGGAAACCCGCTGGTACCTCCTGGATGCCTGGCTTGCCATCCTCTACCTCGTCGTCTTTTCAAGCATCGCCTTCCTCTGGCGCCCGACAGGCAACAACCGGCGTCTCGCCATGTCCGATGAGCTCGCGCAGGACGATGACGCCGAGGATTACGATCTCGAGTCGATGCAGCGGCGTACGATGGCTCCACCTAGTCAGGAGAATCTGGCTGGAGGGAGGGAAGCGCTGAGGCAGGACGATGTCGTGTTTGAGATTGGAGACGAGGACGAGGATGAGGATAAGGAGAGGAGAAGAGGGGAGCGAGAAGGATTAATGGCGAAGGACAGGAATGATTAGGTTGTTGTTGGAACGAGAGAACCTGCGAATGTATGCTTTGGAATAAAATTTTGGGCTTGGCTTGAGCTTTCTTCCTGCGGGGCAACTGGCCATAGCTTTGTGGTGCGCGATGTCCAGAAAAAACGGTTCGCAAAGGACCATATGTTTGTTCATGTCGCCAATAGTTTGGGCCACTCGATCATTGACCCAAATTCAACTTGGCTTCTTGCCCCCGAACTCGACCACAACTATCCGAATCAAAGCTCAAACAGTCCATACAAAACCTAGTGGCACCATACGTACCCGGAGTTTTGTGACAGGCCGAGGACGAGACCATGATGCATGTTGACTTAGAGCAAAAGGCGAAGTAACATACAATGGCATAAAGGTAAGCATAGTCGCGACTCAGCCATGGCTGATTGAGAATTATTACAGTTTCATCAATGTTATATACACCGCTACTATCAACCACTCTGGTTCAAACCTCAGCTTCTTTTACGCCTGTCGACGTCGTTTCCTAGCTGGTCCTCCAGCGACTCCCTGGACAGCATCCCCATCTCTTCCTGGAGTACCTTCATCTTGCTTTCCCGGGTTCGACTTTGCCTTCCCCTTCTCCTGGAGCTCCCTCATCTTAGCCAGCCTTGCCATCCTACAGTGCGCAGCATATCGCCTAGCGTAATATGTCCCAATAAATGTGTTGAGCTCGGCCCTTGTGATGGGGTTCTGTACCCCAACGATATTATGAGCAAGCCCGCAGCAAGAGCAAGGACTCTGGCGGTCTGGATCTCCTCCTTTGAGCTCTTCTACCATTCGTTCGACAATTGAAGGTATTTCGGCTGCTAGTTTGCCTGCGTGCCATGCGGGGGTTCGGTGAGCTGGGGGCATGCACTCGAAGGAAGCTCCGTCTGGGCGTCCAAGGTGCGTGGTTGGGCCGGTGAGATGACTGCAAGTGGCCCCGTCGCTGGAGGCGGGAGGATATCGGACCGTGGATGTAAGTTGTGAGATGGATTTGGGCTTGGGTAGAGGCATCTTGGGTTGACCGCTTGGCACAGGCAGTGCTTTGTTCGATTTTTTGCTCTTCTGGCGCGAAGACCTCCTCAGCGGAACCTGCGTTGTAATCCCTGGAACTTTCCGCTTGACTGAACCGGCGTTCCGTCTTGAAATGTCGGCCATTGCCTCTTGTACCCCTAATACCTCGTCTTCGTCTTCCTGAGTGGGCTGCGCTCGACATTTGTTCTGATTTGGATAGCCAGCTGGCTTCATAGGCTTCTCCCGCCACACTCTCTGCGTAATCCAGGCCCTTTCTGGAGACCCATTCAAGTTAATCTCCGCTCCACATGTGGGCCCACGCAGGATGATGTGAGATTCCAAAGGCACTGAACCGAACCACTGAGAAACACGCGATTGGATGGCACACTAGGTTAGTAAAGTGTTTACGTATTAGCAAGATAGCTTAGCACGTTAAAACGACTGGCGCACCTCTACGCTTCGCACAACTTCATCCCGGTTAGTACGTACTTCGACCACAAAGCTCGGCCGTGCCATCATCCTAACAGCAAACTTGGCTGATACGTCGGCCAGGTCCGTCTCTAAGATCACACGACTAACCGTCTGGGGAATACGATTGAACAGTGTATCCACCAATAGGTCATCCAGGCGCCGAGCTGGCAGGAGCTCCTCGGATATACATCGCGCAACTAGCCTGACCTCGCAGCATCGCGGAAAATGATAAGATATGCCACTTTCCGGGTATCCATAGCTGCCTAAAGGACGTGAATGGAGGCTCGGGTCATTGAGGACGTCGCGTGGATTACATTGATCGTGTGGATCGAACTGAATAGTGAGCCGCCTGAGGAAACCAGTTTAGTTAATCTCTCCTCGAGCATGCTTGATCACATACCGAACATATTTCGAGGCTCCCACACGCGCATATATCTCTCGATCTCCCTTGCCCCGTAGTGTCACATGCTCATAGATGAACGGGGCCGTAACACCGCGAAGACGCTTTGACGCCATGGCCAAAGGTGCGAGTACGCGACGTGGGTGTGTGCCCGAGGCTGCCATACCCAATAGATCCCGTACGATACGCCCAAGAACCGAGAGCGGAAGTAGTCCCCCTCTTGCTCCACAGGAGCGGGTGCATGAAATTGCCTGGCCAGTTGAAGACTCTAGAGTAAACGAGGCGGGCGGAACAAGCCCCGTTCGCACACGCCAAGCCTGTAGTAGATCAAGCCGCGAAACCTCTGGTGATTTGTGCAGTGAGTTGAAGTTTATGTGCTCTTCGGCTCCAGAGTCCCTATAAACCGTATCTAGGAGTGTTGGATGAGATTCTAGAGAGGACGTGTGTCGCTCGTGCGCCACGATGCTGGGACGATGCGGGACTCTTGGTACAATAGTAGGCTCTTCAGGGCCAAACATCCAGGTAGAGGCGTCGAAATATTTTTCGAAGTGGCTCGGGCCGATGAAGCAGCTCCTGTCAAGTCCAGAGACGTTTGTGCTGGCACGAGGTGCCGCAGCCCCAGGAAGGCGAAGTAAAGGGGCAGGCCACAATTTCCCGCGCGAACGTTCCAAATCCAACATCCATTTCGCACTAGCATCGGCATCGTGCCCAGGCCCAAGGCTAGGGTGAGCTGGTGGACCGCACAACTGGTTGGCCGCCGACGTTGAGCTCACCCAGAGTGAACAGCGTTCCCTAGAATCCATCGGACGAGGGTCCAGGGATAGAATGCCTGTATGCTTGACGGAATATAATTGAATGTTGGCGAAAACCGGCTGCTACAAATAATGAGTACAAGAGGGTACGGATCCACAACTTGGCTGAACCTTACCGCTGTTTATAGAGTACTCCTGGGGCTTCTCCTTTGGTCTACGTGGCTTGGGGCTGAGATCGTCGAGTTCTGTTGGGGGCATGCGCAGGACATGGAAGCCTTTATGTTGTTTCTCGCCATGCTTTTGACCAGAAGGAGAGTTCAAGGGGCTATGGCCAATTTGAAATGGAACAAGGAGAGTCCGGTGGTGCTTGGTCCTCTACGCCGTTTGCTGGGTCATATCCACAAACTGGTTTCCAACCCAAGGAAGTCTCCTAACCCGGGAACAAAACATTAACAAAGTGGCCGGTAGGCGGCAACAATGGACTACCGGGATCCAGTGCATGTATGCTTACCTCAGTCTACTGGGCAGCCACATTTCTAAGGCTGGTGTGGAAAAGGTGGAAAGAGCCACTTTGGGCAGCTACTCGATTGGAGCCGTCAAAATTGGCTTGTTTTGTGTTCAGTTCTTTAGAATTGCACCTGCTCACTCTGCATGGATGCAATATTGTTCTTGAATCAATGGAAAAAGATTTGCTCCCTGCCAGGCTCGAACTGGCGACCTTTGGATGTGGGTTATGTAATCAATCTGATTACTCATACTCTGTGTATGAGACCAACGCTCTACCAACTGAGCCAAGGAAGCTTGCTACGGTATGCCTGCGCGACTCCTGGTCTTTCTTGTAAGTAACAAATGTATTGTAACCCTTTCACTCAAAGTTTATCTTTCTCTCGGGCCTTGGTTGGGGTATAGTTTTCAATGATTAGTTTCCAGACAGTTTTCAAATGAAGTTTAGAAGATCGGTTTCATAACGGTTTCAAAACAGGCACATATTTGCAATATTTTACCAGATTAGGATATCATGGCAGAGGAAGTGAACACACTGTAAACTGCAAAATGACGAGGGCATGTTGAAAATTGGTGAGTGTGAGCAGTGGAAAACGGGACTGAATGCGACTTGAGAATTCTCCAGTTATATCACGTGACTAATTGATTGATGACGTAGTGGTTTGGAAACGCGGGCCGATTTCAAAACCTGCTTTACGAACCCAATCGCATTAAAAACTGTGCCCTAGCCTCGATGCCGTTTGGAGAAGTTATCATAGGCTCTCCGGGAAGCGGCAAATCCACGTATGCCTTCGGAAAGCAACAGGTATAGTTTTTATTATTATTACAATACCAACTGCTATTCTCATTCCGCCTAGCTTTTGACGGCTCTGGAACGGCCTATTGCAGTCGTTAACCTCGACCCCGCCAATGACAGAGTACCCTACCAATGCGTAATCGATATTGCGTCCCTCATATCCCTCCAAGACGCCATGGAGGAACACGGCCTGGGTCCGAATGGTGGCATGCTCTACTGCATGGAGTACCTCGAAGCGAACTTCGATTGGCTCGAAGAGCAACTTCGTGCGGCTGGACTTTTGGCGGGGGATGCCTATGTGTTATTTGACGTCCCGGGACAGGTGGAGCTTAGCTCAGACCACGCGAGCTTAAAGAACATTATCGGGAGATTGGAAAAGATTGGGTTCCGGGTGCGTGCATTGCGGACGCATGCAGGTTCGCAATTGATAAGTGGTGAAGTCTAGCTCGCTGCCGTGCATCTTTGCGATGCATACTATGTCACTGACGCAGCAAAGTACGTGTCGATGTTGCTTCTCTCGCTAAGGACGATGCTGCATATGGGGCTACCGCATATAAACGTTCTATCAAAACTTGACTTACTATCGAGGTATGGCGACCTTGGTGAGCGGCACAGCCTGACCGATCTTTACTTATACTAATCTATCCTGCCCAGATTTTAATCTTGACTTCTACACCGAAGTTCAAGACTTGTCATATTTACACAACCTTCTTTCCGCCTCACACTCGCGATTCTCGGCACTCAACGAAGTCATTTGTGACTTGGTAGAAGACTACGGACTTGTGGCCTTCGAGACCCTTGCAGTCGAGGTGGGGTTTTCCCGTGTCTGGGCTATATTGGTGTTATGCTCACCCGGTTGTAGGATAAGAGTTCGATGTTGCATCTCATGCGAACCATTGACCGAGCGCTTGGTTACATATTTGTTCCCAAGCCATTGGCAGAGGAGAAAGGTGACCAACCGAAAGGAACCGTGCGGCCAAACCAAGACGCTATTTTCTCGTCGGCTATGGGTGCAATCCCAGGACATACTATCCAGGACATACAGGAGAGGTACGAAGAGCGACATCGCCCACTACACATTTTAATTCGCTCGTTTAGGTGGGTGGATAACCGTGAAGAGTACGATGTGTGGGAGTCAAGAGAATGGAGGCAGGAAGGCTTACAGGCGGCCAAAACACAAAATAAAAGGTAGCTGGTGATCATTCACGCGTGCAAATTATACAAAGAATCGAAATAATGGCACGAAGTGATGTCCAAGCACCGGTAAGGGTAATGCACCTGTATTGTATTAACAGTGGCATCATTCGTCATCATCGTCACTCTCCGCTTTACGTGCTTTCTTCTTGGATGCTGTTTTCGAGGCGGCCGGTTTTGCAGAGGCCCTGTAACGGTATAAGTTACGGATCATCGCAAGATAGCAGACACATACTTGGTTTTGGTAACTTTTGCCGGCTTCTTGCTCTCCGAACCGGACGCTCCAGCGTCCAATTCGTTCAAGGCCCCGGTAATCGCGCTATGGACATTCACAAGGCCCATGAACTAACCCTATCTTAGTCGAGTGAACTCTAATGAGCGAGTCGTATTTACCTGCTCCTCGGCCAATGATATCCCTTTTCTGCCTGGTTTAAGCTCCCCCGTAGCTTTATCGGTGTACATCTATGGCGGAATGAGAGCTTGAAACGTATTAAACCTGTAAACTACTCACCTCGCGGATGTCAACCAACTTCATTCCGTTGAACGACCGAACTGTTACCCGGCGTTTGCCACTGATCTGTTACTAAAGTATGTAGAAAAATTTGACCTATGAGCCTTAGAACATACCTCAAAATAAGTGTTTCCTTCAGCATCGGTTTGTTTCTCGGGCACCGGGACAATAATCCTAGAACTAGACGATGGCTTTTCGGCAAGCCCTTCTGTTTCCTCTGCAGCAGAAGCATCTGCATCCGGTTCAGCTTTCGCTTTTCGTTTGGGGGGCATTTTGAAGAACAGGGTCAAGTCGTAGCGACGAGTTGAAAGTGGCGCAACTGTAAGAAAATGGCGCAACTGCAACATGACCATGGAGGCGCCAGTTCGGCGCTTACGCCAGGGTCCATGCTTGGTCAATCTTTTCGGATACGCGTTCCGCCTTGCCTCCACCCCATACTCAACTAACATCACGATGCAGCGCGGTCTACCCATGGTGAGTAGCCCACTAGAAATAAATTATAAATGGCTCACTTCCACTGCTAGCAACCGACTGTGATCCTTCTCAAAGAAGGCACAGACACGTCCCAGGGCAAAGGTCAACTGCTCTCTAATATCTCTGCGTGCCTCGCCGTGGCCGACACACTCTCGTCTACCCTGGGTCCGCGCGGCATGGATAAACTGATTGTAAATGAACGAGGAGAGGCCCAGATTACCAATGACGGAGCAACTATTCTTAAGCTACTGGATATCGTTCATCCAGCTGCAAAAACTCTTGTCGACATTGCGCGGGCCCAAGACGCCGAGGTCGGCGATGGAACCACTAGTGTTGTACTTCTGGCGGCTCAGATTCTGAAGGAGTCGCGTTCGTATATCGAAGAGGGTGTTAGCCCACATATTATTATTAAAGGATTACGCAAGGCGGCTCAGTTGGTAAGTGTATTACAATCGATTGAGGGCAATGCAAATAATAGGAATCCAGGCGGTTGACAGGATCAAGGAGGTTCAAATAGTGATTGACAAGTCGAATCCTGCGTGAGCCATTAACACGTCAAGGTGGTGCTCTTACTCACGTTCCATGAAGCAAATACGACGAGCTCCTCATCAAATGCGCGTCCACATCCATGTCTTCCAAGCTCATTCACTCCCAAAAACCGTTCTTCTCGCGCATGGTCGTGGACGCTGTCCAGTGCCTTGATCAAAACGACCTCGATGAAAGCTTGATTGGCGTCAAAAAAATTCCCGGAGGCGGCCTCCAAGACTCGCTCCTTATCCGTGGCGTCGCTTTCAAAAAGACGTTCACCTATGCGGGCGCAGAACAACAACCAAAGGCATTTACGAACCCCAAGATCGTTTGTCTCAACGTCGAGCTTGAACTCAAGGCTGAGAAAGACAACGCAGAGGTTCGGGTCGAAGCCGTCTCGGACTACCAGGCGATTGTCGACGCAGAATGGCAGATTATTTATGACAAGCTGGAACGTATTCATAAAACGGACGCGCAAGTAGTTCTATCCAAGCTTCCTATTGGCGATTTGGCTACACAGTGGTTCGCGGACCGTGGCGTATTCTGCGCTGGGCGTGTGCCCGCTGGAGACTTGCGTCGAGTGACCCAGGCTGTCGGTGGAACGATCCAGAGCACGACTTCGGATATTCTGCCCGAACACCTAGGCACTTGCGGGCGGTTTGAGGAAAGGCAGATTGGTGGGGAGAGGTATAATATTTTCGAGGAGTGTCCCAAGGCGAAGACCTGCACGCTAGTCTTGCGCGGTGGCGCCGAGCAGTTCATCGAAGAGGTCGAGCGCAGTCTTCACGACGCTATCATGGTCGTCCGTAGGGCCGTCAAGAACAGTGAGGTCGTGGCAGGTGGAGGGGCTATCGAGGTAAGCACATCGCCCGACACCTTGAAGCTTGGCATACCAATATGATTCGCAGATGGAGCTCTCCGCTTACATCCGAGACGTCTCCCGAACTCTCCCCAATAAGCACCAGCTCATCCTGGCCGCTTTTGCTCGTGCACTTGAGGTCATTCCACGACAGATCTGCGAAAACGCTGGACTTGACTCAACCGACGTGCTTAATAAACTGCGCATGCGCCATGCCATCGGCCGCCACGCGACTGACCATGCCCAGCTCAGCGAGAACCTGTGGGCAGGAGTTGATGTGGACAGCGACGAAGGCGTACGAGATAACATGGTGGCATTCGTGTGGGAACCGAGTCTAGTCAAGGTCAATGCGATTGGGAGCGCGTGTGAGGCGGCGTGCTTGATCCTTAGCGTCGATGAGACTGTTAAGAATCCGCAGAGCGAGCAGGTAAGGACAGTTAGGAAGGGGGCGTCAACCGACACTGACCCTTTCGTTGTCTTACAGCCGAACCCGGGACCAAAAGCACCCCCAGGCGCCGCGCAACGCGCATTGAGGGGCCGCGGGCGAGGTATGGGACGGAGATAATCGGAACCCTGTATTCAAGTACATGCAAAGTAGTTCCCCCACGGAAACCACCCCGTATGGCTAGTCTCGCTGCCTGGACTCCCATCCGTGTAAGCGGTAGGATGAACTAACTTCCCCAGTCATAAATTTCACATTTCAGAACCCCGCTTCTCCAACTGGTGATCTTCGCATCGGCCCGGAGCAGATGAGGCGGCGCGATATTACTGCCAGCCCGTTAGGGTCAGGGCGCCGGCAGACCCCTATCCTCCTCGATTCAGAGTGAAAAACAATACGCCTTCACCGGCGTCCACACACCGATCCGGCAAGTTAGGCCTTGGACACTGCGCTTGGAAAAGGTGGTTCACGAGGACCCCAGTAATCGCTGCTGGGC